GTGTGTGTGTGTGTGTGTGTGTGTGTGTGTGTGTGTGTGTGTGTGTGTCTGGGGAGGCACTGAGGGTAAGAGACCTGGCAAAGGGAGAATGAGAAGGGGCCAGTCTGGCTGAGGTGGGGGTGCTTCTGGCTTGATTTGGAGGGATCCTTGGATCTGGTGTCCTGGTCTGTCACCCATGTCTATGGGATTCCTGTGTCTCAGTGGGTAGCCCTGGCCTGCCCTTTGAGGGGTAGAGGGGGGACCCTGGGAGGAGGCCTGATTCCCTATGATGGGGAGAAGGTAATGAACCTCCCAGGCTGCCCCTAGTCTGGAGGAGGGGGACAGGAGGCCTCCCCAGAGGCACGTTCCTTCTTCTGTCTTTTCTCTTCTCTTCCTCTTCTTCCTGCTTTGACCCCTGTGGGTGTTTGGTCCAGAAAGAGCAGATGGGAGGTGAGGAGTCTGGCCTGCCCCTTTCCCACCAAGGCTACATCTCCCTTTGTGGTGCCCGTGTAACCTTCCATTCTGTACACCAATCCAGTGTAATTAACCCAGGTGGAAAATTGGTTTACATTTGGCTTTTCCATTGGCCTTTTCCCCCAATGTTTCCTGTGGGGATAGAGCTGACTTTGGTTCCACAGGACCCTTGTAGGCCCTCTCTACTCTTGGCAAGTTTCCTGTAGAATGTCCAAGCCAAGGGTGGCCTGTGGATGGTCACGAGAGGCCCCCATGCTCCTTGGCTTGTGGTGGTCCCAGGGCTATGGATGCTAAGGGCAGCATGGACTCCCTTTTACTACTTTCTTCTGGGAGCGGGGGCATTGGCCCCAGATGCCCCTGCCACTTCCAGGGTTTGGTAGTTTGGCTTCACAATGAGGGGCTCTCCATAGTTCCTGCCACCAGAGGGGAGGGATGGCATGGAGATAGAAGGAATGGAGCCAGTAGCCTGCTCGTCCTTTGCCGGGTCCCCTTTCCCCCAGGAAAAGTTTACTTTTGCTCATTAACACTCTTAAGATGTGTCTGGCTGATGGGTGAGGAGGGACCTGGAGGACGTGAGGGTTTTATATTGGAATCATAATTGCACATTTATCTAGAGATTTTAAAATTTGTAAAGCACTTGAGAAATACTGCATTTTCCCTGGAGAAGGAAGACGGTCAAGGGGATGTGAGGGTTTCCTCAAAGGCAGAAAGGCTTGTCCTGTGGAATGAGCTCCGGGCTGGGAGTGAGGACCTGGTCCATCCCAGCTCTGAAGACAGCCAGGTGTGTGATACTGACCCAGTCCTTGCCCTTTTCTGAGCCCTGGGCTTCTCAGAGGTAAGTTGAAGAAGTTCTTCCCCACGTTAGAGAGAAAAAACTCCTGGGCTTGGGGTCAGCCACCCTGACTGTCCCCTCGCCAGTTTCTTCACCCTATCAGACTCAGTTTCCCCCTCTATAAAAGGAGAAGATTGGATCAGCTGTGCTTCTAAGTCCCTTCCCTTCTCTGGGCCTCAGTTTCCCCCACTGTAAAAGGAACGGGTTAGACTAGATGGTCGCTCTTTGAACTCAGAGTTCTAGGGTCCTGTGGTACTGGGACTTAGTCTTCTCTAAGCCCAAAATGGCAGGTGAGGGCTCCTGGGCCTCGTGTTCAACCTCACCCAGGGATACTTGGGAAATGTGAGTGCGCTGTATGGCAACCATCTAGACCTTGTCTCATGACCTGTAGCCAGTGCTCCAAAACAGTAATTCCTAATCCCAGCCATGTCTCATCTGGTGGCTGAGCCTGGCCTTAGCTCAGATCTACCCAAAGTAGAATGAGTTCTCTTGGAGTGTAGCCGATTTGTCTTCCCTGGAGGTCTAGGCTTCCATGTAATCAGGAGTTTAGACTAGACACTCACTGAGGTCTCTCCCCACCCTGACATTCCCTATTCTATGGGAATTCCCAGCTCTGCTGTGCTGCTTGGAAGTGAGGGTCAGGCCTCCTGCCTGTGCTTCAGCCCAGTCCTCCTGCCTGTGCTTCAGCCCAGTCCTCCCAGGTGTCTTAGAGCTTAGAACAAGGAGTGTCAGGGCTGGGAGAAGCCTTAGAATAGAGGATGGCAGAGCTGGAGGCAGCTTAGAACAGGGGATGTTGATTCAGTAAAATGAGGACTCTCAGCTGAAACTTGGGAGATTTGGGCCCAGTTTGCTGTATGACCTTGGCCAAGTCAGTTCCCTTTCTAGGCCTCAAGTTCCCTCCAGATTGGACTCAGTGCCCTCTGAGGTCCTTCTTGTCTCCGACGCTCTGTGACGACCCAAGCAGGAAGGCCCTCCCTGAATGCTGATTGTCGCAGGCAAGGCTCTGTGCTCCAGGCACTGGTCCTTACTTGTGTTTGTGTCCCCCGACATGGATGTGTGTGTCTGTACATATACGTGCACATGACAGACACACCCAATGTCGTATGTGACTGAGCGGCTACAGGGTCCATTCGCATGTACCCACGGCCACACACAAGTCCTGTGAACACACAGATGAATGAATGCCTGTGGGCTGGGTACACCCAATACACCCAGTTCCCACATGTATGTGTCTGTATGTGTGCACACCAGTAGGCACTCCCATACGTGTGGGCAGCACACACAGGGTCCGAGGTGCACTGGCGGGGTACACTCCTTCGTAGACACAGAACAGGAGCAGGTTGACGAAGCTGTGCCCGTATGAAGGCTGTGCACTCAGGCCCATGGAGGCCCAGGGGATGACACTCAGGCCTCCGTCCTCTGTGCCCTTACGGGGCTTTCCTAGTGCTGGTTCAGGGGAGTTCTTGGCCTTCCCTCCCACGGTGCCCCCTGGCTGCCAGCTTCCCCTGCAGGGTGCCCTGCTCAGAGCCTCAGGGACACCAGCAAGTGCAGCCCTTTCTTCTCCCTCTCCTTCTCTCTCCTCTGCTCTGGGCAGAAGCAGCAACAAGCTTCTGACGTGGAAGGTTTACACTAATAGGGAGAGAAAGCGCATCGTCTCTGCGTGAGCTAAGGACAGGCAGGCGCCATCAGGGACGCTGCCAAGCAGGGGGGCCTGGCCCGGCCAGGTACACGGAGGCAGGATAGGAGGCCGGAGCCAGGGCTCATGTGCTCCACTGTCCTGCACAGACAATGCTGGGGAACACAGCTGCATTCCGGGGGCTGCCTGGGGCTGTAAGCTGGTCAGAGGCGAGGCCCTGAGGCCAGAGCTGGGGGTGGGGGCAGAGGGGAAGAACCAGTGGATCAGATCCTGAAGCCCACTGTGCCATGGAGGTTTCCATGTGGGTGTGGGAATGCCCCAGCTGGCCTGAGTGAGGAGGGGTGAAGCTTAGGTCCCCCCAGGGCCCTGATCCCCAGGTCTGTGGGCCATCATCTGGAGGGGAGAAGCTGCCTCTTTGGCAATAGTGCACTTGGGACTGGAGAAGGAATGGGATGTGTCTGTGTGTGTGTGCATGAAACCAATATGTATCACGAGGGCAAATGAATGTGTGTGACCAATATGTATTATGAGGGCAAATATGTGTGTGTTTGTGTGTGTGTGTGTGTGCGTACGTGTGTGTGTGTGTGTGCATGAAGCCAATGTGTACCACGAGGGCAAATGAGTGTGTGTGTGACCAATATGTATTATGAGGGC